AACTCACTGGAAAAGAGACATAAACTAACCTCACTTGGATATGAAGGCATTTTTGTTAAACACATATTTGCTCATTCCAATATTATGAAAGCTATTTACTGCATAATAAAAATTTTTGGATGGAATAAGGCATTTCTGAATTTCTCCTTCATGATTAATGTACAGTGTAAGGAGCCATTGCTTTGAGACAGGTGCTACAGAAGCCAAGTGTCAGGTTATCAATCAGCTCCTGCTTCACATTAATCCCAATTTAATGACCAGAACTCTTTTATTCTTAACATCTTGTTTTAAATATTGAACTAAGAGGATTCCATCAGAATACACTGCACAGAGCGCCCACCTTGCAGTGCATGTAGCATGGAGGCATCAAGCAGGAGTTATTTTACCATCAGTCAAAGCATATTCTTAAACAAGAACACCTGGTACCATACGCTTCAAGGGAAGATCTAACCTGCTGTGGTAACACGAGGGCATCCTAAGCACAAGCACAGCACAAACCCACAGGCAGCTCTTGGTCCAACAGGTTGATGGCCAGAACAGGCTACGTGCTCCTTTCCTCTACCCCTAAGCAATGTGGTGCTGTTCTGTTGATGGCACTGCTGGCTGGCCCAAATCAATATTGCCTCTGGTATTGATGTGAGTGAGAGGAACCTGAGGCCTCCTGAACATGCCTTTGTATGCTGGGTGAATGGCAGCGCAGCGTACAGCCTTGGGTGGAAGTGCTGTCCGGGATAAAAGGGCTTAATGGTTCAGCACAGAAAGGAGAAGGTCAGAACATTCAGCACCTGACATGAACCTGTCTGCACTTCTACACAGCCCACACAGACAGTCTCACATCACAGCCCCTCAACATAATCTCAGAGCTCTGCATCTTTAGCAGGCAGTACAGGAGGAAAAAACAGCTCTGAGACAGGTGGAAAGGCTAAAAGGGCCCAGGCTGCAGCAAGGCTCCAGGACCTCTGCTACAAAGGAGGAAGGATCTCAACAAACTAGAGATCCATAAACTGAAAGCACCACAGGCAGAGCAGCCTGTGTTCATACTTACATATGTGGATGGAACACAACAGTATGCCCATTTCTGGCATCCTGCTGCTACTTATGTTTATTGAAAGGTGAATGGGGCCTGATACGGTGGCAACAACACTGTCCTCTCCTGAACTGCCCAAGTGGCAATTTCTGATGTATTTTCATTTTGATACTCACTCCCCTGCCTATGCTTCAATGCTACTGGAAGATCAAACAGCAGAGTTCTGTTGCAGCTTTATTCCTCCTATACTCTCCTAGTGAGACATCCTGAAGCGACCCAGAACGACTTGGCCCGGGGTGCTGGAATTTGAAATAGGATTGACATTGCTGCTTTCATTGTCTTCCAGTATATCCCATGGAAGTTGTGGCAGCTTTTGTTGATAGCTGCGTGTAGTTTTCATTAACACATTACAGCCTTGCACCACAAACCAGATGAGGGATGGAGATCAGATCTGTGTCAGCAGAATCAGAGTTAGGTAAGCACATTCATCTCCTAACAACAAATATAGACATCCACAGAAAAGCTGACATGGTGTACAGCTGTGAGAAGTGAAAATCTTATGGCAAGACAATTCCTTAATATAAATATATTTGTTTGCTTTGGCACATAGCAAGCCTAGTTGAATAGGACCAATAAATTAAAGGTACCTCACTCACAATGTATTTACTCTATAATCTGTCTCAGTATTATCAAATCCATAGATCTGCCACCCAGAGAACAAATGTGGAGCTCTGTATGTATTTTCAGTACACAAACTATGGCAGCTTTTAGTTAACACTGCTGTTTAACAGCCGGAGAAACAACCACCAACACACACATACACACACACACAGCAGCACACCATCACTACCAGCAGCACCTAAAGATTCAAAACAAAAAAAAAAAAGTACATTTTATTTAATACTCTCAATGTCTGCCTTTTGCAATCGAGGTAACCAGAATGCAGGTAAGAGAGGTGTAAGGGATGGAGGACAGGAACCCCAGGGCAGTGCAGAGCTCCAATACAAAACTTCTGTAACACAAATGATGATGTATGACATGTCAGTAGGTAAGGCTGCTTCTTTTCTGACATCTTTGTTAAACAAGGAAAGATTGAATTGGTAAGCAATTCACGATGCAAGGAGAACTAGGATAACCAGAGGCCAACTGGTTCACTATAACTTGTGTTTTCATGCTATCAACTTGACAGAAACACTTCTGAATCTGTCTAAATCATTACAAAACAATGTGGCAATGCAAGTACTTCCATAATCTCTTATCAAACAGTTCAGAAATGAATACACTGAAAACGTACTGCTTTACAAAACAAAGACACAGTTTCTCAGCTCTAACTTACACTCGCAAGACAGATGTTGCCAAGATGTTGCCAACAACTTGGTAAATTAATTGTGTGAAAAAGAGCAATCAGGGTAAAGCACAACTTTCTGAAATAAACTATGTTGAAGAAGTGTTTGATAGTACATATGTCCAATGTGCATGTAATTTCTCAAGGATTCAAACGCATATGAGCATCCTCTTTTTATATATAATGGCATCAAGTTTCACTGTGGGCCGCAGCAGTGAGGGCACGCCTTTAGGCTGCTGTGTTCATTTAGCTATGAGTCATTCTGTGTGGAAACAACCTAACAGAAATATCCACAAACTAATGAATTGTGAAAGAACTATAACATTTTCCCCCTCAAGCTTTCACCTACTAGTGGAAGTGGAGTGTCACAAATGAAGTTATTATCACTAAAATGATTTAGGAACGGAAAAATTAAGCACTAAACACCAATCAGCTCTTTTACAAGTCAATCACTTGTAACTGATTTGAAGCAATACCACCACTCAGTACAGTCACCTTAGAAAAGATCAGCAGAATGAGACAGGTAACATCCCAACCTTCAATTTTACAGCTACTGCAACTACAGATAAGATACCTCAGACACGGAAACTGCAAAGGAGGTCTTTCTTGATTGATTTCATCCTTCAGAATCTGAGGAGTTCTAAAACGGAGCAGGGAGCACCCCCCTTATTTTTTTTCTTTTCCCCTCTAGAATCTGGTTTAAATACAAACAGCCCAAATAAATAACCAAACACTTGCCATGAAATGAACCTCTATGCAGTGGATGATCAGCCTGGCAAAACAAACTGGTGAGCAGCCTAACTTCTTCATCCCAAATTACTGCAATAGCCCAGCGAATCACAGCAGTTTTAAAAACTACCTGTAAATAGATCTAAGCAGATAACTAAGCTTATATTCATCCACCTAGCACACACGCTTATTCAGCGCAGGGAGGAAGGAACCTGGTATGCCCCTTACATTAAAGCTGTCGGTGTGTGTTTTGTATTTTGGCACTGCAACGAGTGCATAGCACCTGGCAGGCTGGATTATCTCTTCTACCCACCTAGAAAGTAAAAATGAGAAGCTGAGTGCTGTAGAAAGGGATACTACATAGACAGATATTACTGTTAGTCACTCTTACACAAAATTAATTTCAAATGAGAATATAGCTCACATTGAAACATTTTCTGAAGAGATTAAAGTGGTTTTAACATACGCACTTCTGTGAGACTTCTGGAGAATCATCTCTCTGTCCACACACCTCCCAGGAACCCAGGCTACCAGTATTCTCCATACTTCTCTCGCTATATCTAAGTGAACATACTCTGTTTAAAAGAATGCTGCCCTTGGTATCTTTTAGGTAATGCAGTGAAAATGAGCACGGTGCAACTAGATTCCATCAACCAGGCGGGTGCTCCTACCCTACCAATGCACACTTCAGTTTTGCACTTCTCCTCAGGTGCCCCTATGAGGTACCCTTGTTAGTACAATGCACTTGAGCTGGAGACTAATGGCCCCGACAGACACACAGCAAACTAAATGCTGTTACCACTCTCAGGCATTTACACTGTCCATTCAATTAATAGCCAATCTTCTTATGAACCAACTCAGGAACCATCGTAGTTTTCAGAATGAAATGTTAAAATTAAGAGTTCCTGAGGTCTGTAAAACTGTAGTTTCACTGACAAGCAGTGCAGTGCTAAAAGTCACCTCAGCTCTGGAACTAGTTTATCTAAATTAAGTTCGGTTTCTGCATAGCACAATGTATACATAGCCAGGACCTCAAAATGTCTTTAAGAGCCATCTTAAGAACTGCTAGCTGTCATCAGAACAGTTCCATTACAGCAACAACCACCAGTGGGATTCAAAGAGCAGGAAGAAAAATAGGCACAGATTCTTTGTGAATTTCAAGAATCAGTATAAACACAACTAAGAGCATAACTGGTTTCAGTGCAAATAAGAATTTTTGCTTGAGGAGTTACTGGTCTGAGCTATTTTAAAAACCAAAGTAAAAGGAAACACATTTATGATACTGGACTCTGGTTACAGTAAAATTTCCGTTGGTGTTTTCCTACTTAAGCTTTTTAGTTGTGTACATTATTTAAATTGTATGAAGCTTCCAGCAAAGTAGTGTCAGTACAGTAATTTAACATGCTACTGTTATACTTTTCTTTAATCTACACAAGGATTAAAAGCCTCCAGCTATGATTAATGTGTAAAAAAAATAATAAATCATAAGTGTTGCATATCTTCCACAAAATTGGGTTGTTTCTTCCACTGCCTGTTAGAACAGTTGCACATGTGGTGGTAAAACATGCCACTGGAGGTCAACTATAACATTTAGTCTGTGTATAATAAAAAGTATTTGTGTTGTTTGTTTAGTAACAGTTCAAAAATATCCAGTTGTAAATACTCAGAGAAATAGGCTCAGAAGCAGAGAACCATAAATAGTCACTAATTAATACTTTAAAAAACCCTCGGTCATCTAAAAAACTTACTGTTGCAAGAAGTCTCTGCTTAGTAAAATTGTGTACATTTTCAGACTTTAAAGTGCTGCACAATATAGAGCAATCCTCCAATTTATCACACTGTAGTTCCATTAAGCGACTGGACAATTTTTCAGACTGATATAAAGACATTTTGCAGAAAACCATCATGTATTATTTCAAAATTTATATGCAGATTCTTACCAAAATGCCACTGTTTCTGAAGATGCCATATCCAGTTATCCTTAAGATGTCCATTCACATCCATCATTAGTGCTGTAGTTGCTTTGCACTGAAGCTTCAGAACAGATTTCAGACAAGCAACCTACACCTACCAAAATGGTTTCTAGAAAGCAAATTTAAGAGCTGTGGAATAGGGAAAACAAACAAACAAAATTGCCAACAACTGCACGTACAATGCAAACATAGTCAACATAATATCCATTCTGAAACGTTCATCATACATAGTAGTCAGACTCTAACAAAATAAAGTTATAGAATTTTTTTTCTGAATAGAAGGATGTATAGATGTTCAACATCTCTTTTAAATCTCTAGTTCACCTACAGAAAATCTGTAGGAGCAAAGCTTCCCTTATCCCATTAAATCTCATACACATCATCTCATCTTGTTAAGGGTACTCATTTGCCTTCAAGTGATTCCTTACAAAAAGCAGGACAAAGGAACATTCATCATACTTGAAAACTTATGAAAACTGAAATTCTGATTTGTGAGAGAGAGCATGAACACAGGACAGTTAAAAGTCCTCCATTAAAACAAACAAACAAACAAGCAAAAAAAAAGTCAGCCAAACAAAAAACTTTAAAAAGCACTAAGAAGGGCACATTGTGGGAAAAAAAAAAGCACACAGTGTAAACAGGATTGAAGTAGAAGTAAAGAGGCAGAAAGAGTGGAACAGTCAGTGAGCATCGGACAGAGAACAGCTAGTTAAACCTGGTGAATGTTCTCTGAATGGTCAAAGGTCCCTCAGGCTTTCTGCTCTTTCTGTCCCTGTCTCTGACTCATGTCCATTCTTCAGTACTTCCAGTCCCAGAGCAGAAAGGTTCCACGCATTCTCAGTCTTCTCCCCATTATGAAATTCCCCTCCTTTTAATATGGGAATCAGGATTACTCCTCATCCGTAGCTTTAAATCAGGAATCATCTGGATCTGTTATCCATTATCTTTACAGAACATGTGCATGCAGATCATCCTTGCTTGCAAGTGATCCAAGTTTAGATATTCTGACTTCAATTATCTTAATTCTTTCTGGGGTAACACATATTGGACAAGCTTCATTTTGCACATCAGAAAAGCAAGACAAGACACTGATCTATAAAACAGCAGTGAAAGTTTGGTCAGGATACATAAAACATTCTGTTCCATACCAAACAACAGAGCAAAGCTAGGATTCAGAGGGGTAGATGATCTGTAGGCTCTGGTACACACAGCCAGATGGAAAATTCTAACCACTCACATTAAACTGTACTTGTTCCAGTATAAATTGAATAGACTAGCAGGGTTGTTTCAGAGATGAAGACGCACTGTTATTATCAAACCATTCATCATCTATGCTTTCTAGAATATAAGCACATGTGTTTAACACGCAAGTTTGCCACAAAGACAAACTGAATATTCAAAACTAAAGGATGCAACCTCTTATGGAGCCCTGTGGATAAGAGCAAAGGAACTAGAATGAAGTCATTTTCTTCTGGTATAAGGTCTCACTTGTGTAGTTCATAGAGGCATAGCAACTGCAATATAATTAAAAACATTTTCTGAAATTGGGCCAGCCCTCCTAAGTTGTTCCCTTCTATTTGGAAATAAGCAACCAATATATAGTTTTACACTGATACAGCTCTATTCACACTAGGCGGAGAGAAGATTGCTATTTTAATTATGCCAATATAGATAAAGTAGCAAAATATCTGATAGAGAACTTAGTATCTTGAATAGAGTACATTCGCCTATTGCAAGATAGCTGCAATATTCCCAGTGCAGGCAAAGCTTTAGAGTACTAATTCTTAACATAAAAAATAATCCCTGCTGTGTAATTCCCTGAACATTATCAACCTTTGAAATGTTAATGGAATTACTAGAGACAAACCACACTTTGAATTTCTGCCAGATTCTGTCAAGTTCTGTGTGCCACTAAGGTGCCACTATTCTTTTTGTAATACTTTATCACATTTAACTAACTTTTTTTGGAAATAAAAATGCTGCAATGTTGTTGAATTTTGGGACAAACACTGGATCCTGACTAAGCATGCACTCTTCTTTGTAAAATACATATAAAGCAATCACTCCTCCTCAGCCAGACCACAACAGTGGAAATGACCACTGTTATCTCTGACAGTAATAGGCTGTCACTGATCAGTAGTTATTCAACAAAATCCCTTTAGTTCTGTCACACAATATTGTTTCCATCACTATCTAATTTATTTGGTTATTTTAAACATCTGCAAATGCAGGCTATGCTATGAAAAAAAAAAAAACAACAAACAAAAACCAACCCACAAACAGCCCTTTTGTTTCTAAAGAAACAAAGTTTTGTTACTTCCACGAGTATTCCTTAAAAGGAGCAAATAGAATGGTCTTCCTTATTTATTAGTTTTACATGCAGGTTACCCTTAGGTCTCTAAGGATTGCATCTCCCAGCTGACTGAGTTAAAAGACCAGAATCACCTGATAAAACATTTTCTTGCTTATTTATGATTTGTATTACAATAACTTTCAAAACAGACTCAAGATAAATGCAGATACGCAGGATAGAAATTCCGTGATTTATTCAAGCTTAAGTTACAATGTGCAAGTAAAAAAAATTACCTAATGTTTCCATAAACTAGGAAAACTGTATAAAGCATGAAGGCATGTTTTTGTCTCCCTATCTCCCTCTTACCCAAAGAGAAACCTCCAACACCCAGAAATCTTTTGATAAAGAGAAATACCTACAGTATAGCCTCTGCTTATCAAAGGTGAGCTGTGTGTGCTTAGTTCACAGTGAGAACTGTATGAAGCATATCCCAACTAGCACATGGAAAGTAGCTGATAGGTATATCAGATACAAAAAAATAATCATCAAATTTTGAATTTTAATCATGTAAACTTGTTCTAATCTTACAAATAAAACTGTTGCAAACAGAAGTTCTTAAAACCTTTTGTTTGCTAGTTGATCAACCTCAGCAAGAGCAAAGAAGTTGAAAATAAAATTAAACTTCTTGCAATTGTAGCAACTTATCTTAAACACAAGAGAAGTACATTACTCCTCCAGAAAATCTTGTTAAACAAACAAGACTTGTTTATACAATTAGCTCAATACAAATAGTTAAGAGAGCACTTCAAAGACCTACCAGTAGTCTACTGTACACAGGGATTGCAATTTTCCAATGCAATGAAGTTTTGAATCAGAGTAACTGTATTAAAATATTTACTTACATAAAGCATCTTGAAGAGTGTAATAGTAAGTTACTGCTTTTAAATCACTTACATTTGGATATCTAAACATTTCTTTAAACTATGTGTAAAAATTTCCAGTGGACTTCTGGAAAAAAATGAGGAATATAGATTTTTTTCTTCCTATAGATGCCAAAGCTTTTTTCCCCAAAATCCCTCAGCCAAGTTTCTCTCTCCAATCATCAGAGCTCCTTTTTCATTATTATTTAGGTGAGATTAATCTTCAATATCTACTATATTTAATATTACAGATAGATATTCTAATAAAATATGACTAGAAAATTCAGTTCACGTTGCTTTTGGCCCTACTTTATGCCCCTGTGGCTGTAAGATACTACTATTAATTGGCGTTTGTTGGTAACGAGGTTGTTAGGTAATAATATATATGACCAACAGCTCCAGAATTAAATGGCCCAATAAGAAGTTAGTCCACAGCAAATTAACACGAAAGTCAGTTTCTCTAAAACCAGGATGAAAGAGAAAGCAGTAGCAGAAACAGATCAGACTCTGGAGTGAACAACTTCATTTGATGTTTAGGACCAAATAGGTACATGTCAAGGCAGACACAGCTTAAAGAATTGTGAATATCTTCACTGACAGACTAGACAGTAAATAAATTCCAGCAACAGTCTTGAAAATAACTGGTAGAACATAGCAGAAAGATGTTTCCAACCATGGCCATTGACGAACCAAAGCACAGGGCACTTCATCCATCTATAAACTGAAATACATTGTCCATGAATTTAAGACTGTCTACATCTGAAGCACAAGACCTTTCAAGGCATTTGGAGTCTCAGTGCCAGGTCTCTGCTGTACTTAAAGTGCTGCACAGAATAAAATTCATATCTCGGACTATCCCTCCTTGGAGGAATGATCAAAGTCCTCATTTGATGCCAAGTACAGTGTTTCTATCTTGGAAGATGGCATTCCATAACTTGGTCTGTAACCCAAGAAAATGTATCCTCTTCCTGGCCTACAGTATACTCCTCACTTTCCCTCTGCTGTGCTTCAACCTCTACTATTTTTGCAGGAAGCGTGGTACTTCAGACTAACTCCATAGAGCCTTAAGGTATTGTTAAACCAAGCAATCAGGAACCAGTACTGCCTACCTTATACAATTACCCATTCCATAGCAAGATAACAAAGTTCATTTTTCAAGACACCATGCAGTCTTCATAACCTCTTCTTGGCAAGCACACCAGAAATGAGATATGTCCTCCTTTGAAGACCCTGAAACTGCCATAGTAAGACTTCAGATAAGGAAGAAGTCTCCTCTGAAAACTTAACCACCCAGTTCAATATGACAACATAAATGAGAGGGGAGTTACAATATTCAAGAGGGAAGTATTTAAGCTGGATGTTGATGATCAGGACACCTTTCTCTTCTTAAAACAATGCCATAATGCTGGGAACACAAATCTTCACAGTGTGTTGTGTGATATCTAGTACTGTTGTCACTGAGTAACTCACCTCAGGGCTTAAAATCAGATCTCACAGCCAGTGACTTCTCTATCATTAGCACACTAAGTTAGAAGCATAGTATCAGAGCCATATATATGACTTGTGTGCATTGTGTGCATATATATGACTTCTGTGCCAAACATACTGATGTATAAGTACTATAGAATATCTTTGTCCCATTTCTCTTTGGAAAACAATTAGCTTCCTCTCCCCTTTCTCAGAGAAACACTCTTACCTTGGTCTTGAGGCTTGCCATACGGGAGCTTCACTTGAGTTAAATATTTTTAAAAGATAACACATGTATTTATCTGGTCCGTTATAAACTCTTTTTCTGAAAACATTCTCCTTTTTTATTCTTCATTTCAAAATCCTTATCTTTAAAAGCATCCTTCTGTTTTTGAAGAAAGCAAGGAAGTAAGTCTGTAACTGAAATGGAGTAAATCTTGAATAAACAAATCCTCAAAGCATTAATGATTTAAATGATCTAATGACTTAAAAAAACACGTTTAAAAAAAATGTTTTCTCCAGAAAGAACATTTCTAGCTTTTTTTTCATACCAATTACAGAATCATTTTCAATTTCTCCTCTGCCCAGCCCCTCCCCATCTCAACCAAAACAGAGAGTGACAGAAGACCCCATATGATAAGGTAGAACTGATTACAGGAGATGACAGTTCACATTTCCATGGCACACTCAGTTTCTTTCCAAGTTCCCCACCTCCACTAATGCAGTAGCAGCACCTGCATCACTACAGTACTTCACAAGAGTGAAAATAAGAGTAAAGTAGCACCAATTCCAGGTGACTTTACAGCTCTGGTTACAAACTACATTGGGCTGCTGGAACTCAAACAACTGAGCTACCTGGAGAAAGTGCAGACCAGCAGGAGCAGGAAACAAATCAAGTTAATTCTATGATCTGAACAGATCCCCTAACACTTATTTCAATAGAGAAGCTGTTATTTCTAAATTATGCATGCATTCTGCCTGGGAAGATCATGGAACAGATCATCCTGGATGACATGCTTGATCACATGAGGAAAGGGCGTGTGATCCGTGACAGCCAGCACGGCTTCACCAGAGGAAGGTTTTGCTTGACGAATCTGGTGGCCTTTTATGATGGAGTGACAGCATTGGTGGACAAGGGAAAGGCGACCAATGTCATTTACCTGGACTTGAGCAAGGCCTTTGACATGGTCCCCCACCACATCCTTCTCTCCAAAATGGAGGGATGTGGATTTGATGGGTGGACCACTCAATGGGTAAGAAACTGGTTGAAAGGCCGCAGATAGAGGGTGGTCATCAATGGCTCCATGTCCAGGTGGAGGCCGGTAACGAGCGGCGTCCCCCAGGGGTCTGT